TTGAGAGCCTTCTCCCTGATGTGTTCTGTACTCCTTCTGAATCAGCTGATGGTTGATCCTTTTATACTCATAGTTCCTCTTGGCAGGTGACCCTGTACTTGATCTCATGATTGTAAAGCCAGGCCATGGTAACCTGTTGTTTCCTAAACCCCCGGAATTAGAAGTTGGAAGACCATGTTGCTTTTAGCAGTAATTAGAGAGAGCTGTTTCTGTGAAAGTTGGCTGTATAGCAAAAAAACTCAACAACCCAATCATTTAAAAAATAAAAATAAAAAGTAAGTAACCCCCTTGCTCCTGTTTTTTTTTCTAGGAGGGAAACACCCCAAGTCTCAAATTCTAGAGATACTTGAAAAATATTTGCAAAAGCCATAGGCATATCAAAATGTAATTTTATTTCTAAAAAGATTAAAATAATTATCATATCCGATGATACCGAATCTCCTTTGCTCTCATACAGCCATCTGCAGCAGTGGTGGCACCTGCAGCTGTCCTGAGCCATGCAGGCTGAGTTAATGCAGGTTAAGGCATTTGGCTACCAGAAAAGTTTGTCCTTCTGTTTGGGAAACTGTGTTACCTTGAAGCATAGTAACACTAAGATGCATTTATAAATGAATATATATTTTTTTGTGTATAATAACATACATAAATGCTCCTATGCTGTATTCTTACTAAATGACTTTATTTTCCTATTGCTCTAGAAGAGAAAAAGAATCAAAATACTGAAAATAATTGCTTGCAATGTGTAAACAAAAGGAAAGCCTGTTTTCTTTGGAGTCAGAAAGATGAAGCAGTAAAATAAACTTGCTTCTAAAAAGCCTGGAAAAACTGAAGGGTAGCATTCATATACTGTCATAATGAAGTTGGCATGATGTATGGACCAATACAAAATATTTTTATGCTTACTGTTGTAGACTTTTGAACTGATAAAATTGAACTTGGAACGTCTATTGATTTTAGAAAAACTGTGGAAAGAATGAAATATATTATAAGTATTTTTCTGGTTGTTAGAGGATATTTCCTTCAAACCTATGATTTATTTTCACAATTTCTCTTAGCTGTGCTTTTGCCACCTGGAGGCTGATGGCACCTTCTAACAATAATGTCTTTAGTAGCCCTTTCCAGCATTGTGGTAGCTCTGAGTGCCCATCAGGATGTAGTCTTAAATTTAACAGGCAAACAAACAAACCCCCAAAATCAAATGATAGACATAATCTGAATATGAAATACAATTATCACTCTAGCTCAATACCACAGCTTTCTGGAAAGGCAAAAGGGAATTTAAAAGGACTGGAAACATTACAGTTCCTCTGTGCTTAGCCTGGAAAACTGGAGGTTTTGTAGTATAGGGCATTCTTCTCCCCCAGTGGAACTGAGATATATGCTTCAAAGTCCTGTAATTAAAATTTAATTATAAACAAAGCAAAGTTTATCAGGAAAGGTATTACTGATTAATGTACACTAAAAACAACACAGCAAATCCCTAAGATTTTGGGACTACAAAATAGCCAAAATATCACACACTTCGTTTTGAACTGGGCATCAATTAATGCTGGCTGTACAGCTCCCATCTGCACAATAATCACAGAATAGAGAAATTCTAATATGCCTCGGGGGGGGCTAGCCATCCATTTCTGCCTTGGTCAGAGATGCAGCACATTTGGAATGATGCAGCTGAATACAAAATCACCGTACTTATTCCCAGCCTTCCGAATAATTTTGTTTACAAGGACTGTTTTAAGGCTGTTTGAAGCAATGCCATTTCAACAAGGGAGAGTACCATATAGGGGCTGCCTTATTGAGAAGATGAGTGTGGCAGTATTTTTTCAGGTTTATCTACTAGTGATCTATCTAATATTGGATTATCCTGGGCCGAGGTTATAGCAGGTTATGAGAAGGTTATTTTCCTTGATTGAGTTACCACTTTGCACTGGTATTCATTCAGTTTATGTGCTGGTTTATCTTTTCAATTTGCAGAACCTATTCAGTGTTTGATGTGTTTTTATAAACAGTTTGATTCCAGAAAATATGGTCTGAATCAGATGCATTACTGTATAACAATATACTGACAACATTCTGAGAGAATTTACAACCTTACGCTTAACAAAGCTTGAATGTTGTTATAGTGCTATGGTGAGTACAGTAACCTGAGAAAATGAGATTTTTGAGTTTTAGAATTATGGAAGATAACAAACTGGCACATCTGATTTTGTGTTTAATTGTACATTACTTTTTAAAATTGTATAATAATAGAAAGTAAAATTTTGTTGTGATTATTGACCTGTTTCCCATCAAATTAGGGTGTCAGGTCCAAGTTTTGACAATTGCATCTCAAATTTATTTTCCGTACAAATCTTGAGATAGGCTGAAAAAGAAAACAAAACAGTTGTTTTATTTGCCTCTCAGTGACAAGTTGCTTCTTGCAGCCCTAATGACTGAAGGCACTGCATTTTCTCCAAAATATAAACTAGTATTTTAATAGAATTACATGTCTTTGGAGCATAAAGAAAAATAACTCAGAAACCTTTTAAAGAACATCCTATCTATTAACATAAACACTGCATATCTTCCTCTTACCTCCATTTCCTACAATTATTTATATTGGAGTTCAGACTTTAAAGGGAACTCTTCCTTTGCTGCTGGGGCAAAGTTGTATTTAGCTGTTTGGTGCAAATACTGTATGTAAATCTGTACCACGTGAAGGAATATGAAGTATAAATATAGGTGTAGGGATTAAGCACAGTGTGCCCTGGAATCATGCTCAGGAGCTGCTGTCTGTGTCACATTCGGAGCTTGGGAAAAATAGGAGTTTACAGTACCACCAAAAGATCTGTGCTATTTTCCTTTAATCCTATTTGTCCTGGGCAGTTCTGCTTCCTTGTGTCCTGTTCTGAAGCGTGTCTGTAGTTGAGTGGTGAGGCTGTGGGGATTTTGGTGTTGAAATGGTTCCGGATAAGATTCCACAAGCAGAGTGCTCCAAAATGCCAAGGGCCAGGAATCTTCCATTAGGAAAGCTCATCTATTACAAGGATTTACACACTACTCATATATATTTGTTTTTCTTTGAAGTATTACAAATGTTTAGTCTATTAGTGGTGTTTTAAAATAACTTGGGACTGTTTCAGCATCTTGTTTCAAATATGGTTATTTTATGTTTTCGAGTTGTCTTATGATTGATAAGTGAGACAAATATTGTTATTTGAAAGAAAATAATTACAAATGCTATCTCATTAAAAACATGTCTGTGCTTTGCATGTGTGCATATGTCTCTGTATCTATGTATATCTGTATCTATTTACATAAACAAAGGTTCTGCAGCGAGTACCAAATAGTGCAAGTTAGCCCCCAGCTCTAGATAATTGGAATTTTCTTGACATATCAAGCTCTTGTTTGTTGTTGTGAGTGACATACTATGAATAACTTACAACCCCTCTGTACCTATCATATGCAGTGTCTGCTATAGCCTTGATGATCAGTAGTCAACTCAAAAGTTTTTTAGAGCTGACTAATAATTCACCAGAATTTCTGAGAGGGATTTTGCTGTCATTGTAAAGCTTGAAGAGGTTTGCTATTGCAGCCATATGGCAGTTCTTGGTTCTCTGGAGAAGAGAATCCTTTTGATAAACAGATCAAAGCGTTCTGTTCTTTCAGTGAATGATGCCTGTAAGTAACATAGAACTAATTTCACGCTGCCTGCCTCATTTGCTGAAGCCTTGCATTCTGCTTTCAATATGATATTGCTCATGCATTATATTTTAAGTATAGTTAAATCATTATTTAAATAGTTCTGTTCCTGGGTAATTAGGCAATCCCACAAGTATCTAATTTACCAAATGTGCTATCATGATTAGTAAAATCAGTGTATAAATGTGGTTGCTTGTTGTACTAGCCATGCAGGTAAGGAGACTCTCAAAGACTCTTTTTTTTGCTATACCACAAGCCTAAAACTTAGACTTTTGGACTATAGGTGATGAACAACTATAGACTAAAAATATATACCACATTATTCCTAGAAATAGTTGCATTTGCGCTGGGAATTCTGATGTGGGGTATGCAGATGTTTGGCAGTGAAGGGCAAATCTAGTGAGAAACTTAGAACAGAAAGTGTATGCTGCAGCATCACCCTGAAAGGAAACAGATCTCAATCTGGGCTGTATGTACACCTTTAAGGCTTGTCTGATAGCAGGATGTTCTTTCTTTCTATTCCATCAGGCATTCCAGATGCGTAGTTGCCATGACCGCACATGCCTAGTCTCACAGAATGAGTGTATTGTGACATAGATGTGATGCAAAGAGCCAAAAAAGAGAGGAGAAGGTTTTACCTTGCAAGATATTCCATTAAAGGAAATATTAATGAGATTCGGTGCTGAGTCTCAGCAGAAAAGGGAAGATTTAGGGTTATGACACACCATACTTCTACATGTGGCATGAGGCATTATTCTCTCTGTAGAGGTGATACAGCTCACAGCGGAACTAAGGAGATGTGTATGTGACCCTTTGTGATGGAGCCTGCATCATCCTAGAAGTGTCTTGTAAGAGTAATAGTCTTATAATCATTGAACTATTAAAAGTATTGGCTGAATGACAGATGTGAATGAGCATGAGGTAATTACCACAATTCTTCAAACTTTACTGTTCCTTTTATTTTTGCTTTTGGGAGTTTGGTGAAAGGATAGCTTATTTTTCACAGGGTAATTTACCTGAATTTCCATTTTCAAGAGGTACAGATGGAAGAAAATTCAGAGTGCTTGGTGCTTGCTGTTATAGTTCAAAGCTTTCTGTTAGCTACCTGAAGTGTGTTGGCACTCTGATTTCTCATTAAGTTCGCTGATAAATATCAATTTGCAATTCCATACTCTGTAGTCCGCCACAAACTTCTGCACTTTGCTTGTTGCATCTCTGACTCCCATGCATATATGTACTTGATTCTTTACTTCCTTGTTTCTCGACAGCTACAATTGAACCTTTTTTATTTCTTTTTAATTTGTGTTTCTTTTTTTCAGTGTGGGAACTTTGCTGTTTTGGTAGATGTTCATATTTTGCCCGAAGGCTCCAATAAAGACACCAGCTGGTTTTCAGATCAGGAGAAGGAGGTACAACAAATAACAGTTCTACTTCAAAAGCCTGTGGTCACAGGGAAATGTTGGATAGCCTTGAACTGTTCTGTGTTTTTCAGTGTTACGATGAGAGCGCTGCTGGTTGTGCCTAACTGAATGGTTGCTGTGGGGCCCTAAGTGAACTACACGTGCTTTTTGGGTCACTAATGGCCACTTTCTATTTCCCTTTTAATTTTTAAGCTCTGCATGTGTATGCATGTGGTTTTGATTCTTCTGACTTTGGTTTTAAAAGCATCTCTCTGACGGTATCTTTGTCTTTTGTAAACTGTCCTGAGTTATGAATAATGGCTTGTGACAGGTATCACTTTTGTAGAGCTTGTTGGTGAAAAGCCTGTTAACTGTTTTATCACATTTAGGAAAGTGTGAATGGTATTTAGTTTAGAGAGCGAGTGCAAGAAAATATAATGTATATGCATGATATGCAAGGTAATGTATAACAGAACTACTGTATCTCATTAAGGGAGATTATTAAACTTGATTTTGAAATGTATCATTTAATATCCTAACAGCAGATGAAATCTGGGAAATTCAGAGCCTCAGCAACCAGTAAAATTACAAATGTAACTTTCATCAGATTCTGTGATTTCTGTAAGAATCTCATGATGAGTTACTGGCCGGAGTTTTCCCCTATTTCAGTCTGCATGGGAACTTGAGAAGCTCCCTGCTGAAAATGAATGCAAGACATGTTTGAGATGCCTGTGGAGTTTCCCGCAAGTCTCTGTTACGGTAATTTTCAGCGGATAGCTTTCCTAATAATGGCATAATTAACTTGTCACTGCAGAGCATCCCCGTATGGTCACAGCAATGTTTAAAGAAAAAGGAAAAAACAACACACCCAAACCTTCCAAATTAGTTGTCAGAGGGAGTGAAGGCAGAATATTTATCAGGTTCACCCAATTTGTGCTTTAAGAATCAGACAAAGGAGAAAATACGGGAAGTCTTTTAGATGACTTTTTTCCTCAAGTAAATGAATACTCCTTACCGCTTCTATTTATAATTGGCACTATCTTGGTTATAAGTTTTAAGTGCTTTCAAAATGTATTCTGTATCATTGCCAAAACAAAAGATGGGAATTTCAGGAAATTAGATCATGAGTGATTTAATAAAGAGGCATGACGGGGCAGCATTCAGTGCGTTGCTGTGACCGTGTGTTTTGAGAGAAGTACAAAGGGTGCATATTTTCAACAACCAAGAAGTGTGATTCCAATAGCTTTACAATTTGCTTCCTGAAAGCCCTACACAGAGCCTTTGTTGTACCGGAGAAAAAAGGTCAAATTATGCCTGTGGGTTTTTTTATGGTTTGTTTTTTTTTTTTTAAATTTTCACTGCAACAAATTTTTCACATCTCCAGAATTCATCACCTGAACAGTGGTGCAACCTTTGTTTGTTTGTCTGTCTGAGAAACGGTGGGGAAAAGCAGATGCCTTTCAGGCACCATGTAACAAAAGCATGATTTGTGCTGATCCTCCCTTCCCCTGGCAGAAGTGGCTGCTGTCTGTGGGATGCAGAGCCCTGCAGAGGGATAACGTGGAGGCAGGCGCGGTACTGCCGCAGGGAGGGAATGGCGTGCTCTGCTGGCCGTGCGATTCAGGGTGGAGAGAAGAGTGCAGGCTGTGTGAGGCAGGCTGGGAGCTGCATACAAGCCCGTTAGTGTGGGGATGGTGTTAGAAAAGGCCGTGCACGTTGTCTGGCGGGGCACTTTACTGAGCACAGTCTCTGCGTGCTGCTGTGTGGTGTATAAGGGTCATTTTGGACTGACGTGCAAATCACTAATTTGATGCTTTTCAGGAACTTTTCTCTTTCTGTCCTACCCTTTCTAGTTTTCCGGCCCTTTGTGTGCTCTTTCTTTTCCCCTAGAATAACAAATCAAAGTTTAGCCTTGTACTTGACAAAAGAACTATTTCTTTTTTAGACTGATTTCTCATGTCCTTGCTGTAAAAGCTCCACTTTGCACACAGAAAGGTCTGAGTTATCAGTTCTGTTCTTATTGTAGAAATAAGAGAAAATTATCTTGAAAATTGCTCATTTATACTTTCTTAAATATAGACCTGTTTAGTTCTTTGTGGAGAACCAATAAATATAATTTCCCTAGGCATAACAACGGAATTAAATATTTTCCATGTAAATTAAAGAAATGCATGCTGATCTTTTTGTTGTGGAAGGAACCACATGCAAACTCCTTCCTCTGCTTTCTAGACTTTTCATTCTAACCCGAATGCACAGTCCTGTTGAAGGAATGTGTAATGAGATCACTTTAATGAGTAAAACAGAGGAATAGGCAGATACTGTATTTTACAACTATATTTTTCAAGCATAAGGGAAAGTATATTTCTAGCTGTAGGGAGAAAATACTATTTGTGGTTGACCTATATATGTGTACTGCTCTCACTTAGAGCAATATGTTAAAAATGTTCCTCTGCATACTTGGTAGATAAATCCAAAGTAAATTTTCAGCCGAGGTATTTTATGTTTGGTGTTACTAATATAATTTTGTCTGATGTCCAAAAACTATAAAAAAGGTAAGATGATATATTTGTGTGCTGCAAAGTGTCATTTCTATGAGCACAAAGTTAGACATAGTGGAAAATAAAAATTCTGAAGTAAAAGGCACAAATGTGTGTGTGCCCTAATCTGAAAACTTGATCTAATATTTGAGATAAATATTTTGCTCTTATATCAAGGTGTTTCTTTTTCTGTGGTTATTCTGGATGAAAGGTTTGTTCTTCTTTCAGTTGTCTATATTTCGTTGTTGTGTTGTGCTTTGAAGGAAGTATGAAAAATATGAATGGATAAATTTAGGAGGAGTAAAATCAAATGAACTGGAGGAATTAGGTTACTGTGACCAAGTTAGTTCTATGTCCTTCCTTCCCAAATTACACTGAATTGAACCAAAATATCTGCTGTGGTTTATACTGATTCTTGCAGTGCTTATGATTCCTGGCAATATCTTCACTAATATTTTGCTTAAATTTCTGGTGTTACGATACTTACAATGTGTATTTTTTCATACTTTGCGTACAAAATAATTTAATTTTCTTTTAAAAACAATGCTATTTAATGTCATAATGTATTTCTATGACTAAGAACTTCAGCGATTTTCTATAAATAAATTGCACCATGCATTGTGACCTATCTGAATCATAGTTTTTACTCTCTTATTCTTCAAAACTGTAGAAGAAATTATTAAAATGTGTTTAAAAAAAAAATAGAAAAGCTGTTAGGATTTCTTTTCCTTGTTCTAATGTATTTCTTAAGCATTTCTCAGCTCTGTGTAACACCACAGTACCTGATTGCAGACAGTATTTTTTTATTCTCACCTCTGTGTAATCAGTACCTGATTGCAGTACCAGATTATTGTCGGAGAGATTTTGTACCTTTGTGCATTTGTTGTGCATGCAGTGCTTAGCTCTGAAGAGGGAAATGTTGACATTTCAGGAGGTCTGCATGTACCTAGAAGAGGTGGTCGTGTCACGGATCAAACGCTACTTGGAAGCACGTAAGAAGCGTGGTCAATGGAAGTCAGTGGAACATGCATCGTCAGCTCCTCTGTTCATTACAGGTAAAATCAGTTATTTAATCTGTAAAACAATAAAACAAGGTAAAATATGGTGGAAACTGCTGTTCTTTACTTTTTAATGAGAAACTTCCCATCATGAAATCTAGTAAAGCCAAAATATCTGGAGTTTTGGGGTTTGAAATTACTTCGGCTATGTTTCTGAAAAAAACAGGAATGGGTTTTAATTTTCTGTACATAGTTGAAAAATTGACATCTCACTTGTGCTATTAAATTAATGTGACAGAATATAATTGAGCAGAATAAAAGAACCCATGTTTCTCTAAAAATGATGGAAAACTGTCTTTTTTCTGAAGTCAGGTTTCTATTTGTACATTTTTTTATTCTAGAAATATTTTTCTCCTTCCTCTTGCCATTTATTCATTCTTTAAAAACTGCTATGTTGTGATAAGTGACATCTGTTGTTTCAACTGTGTTACTATAGATTTGTAATGGTAATGAAAGGTAATGAAGTCAGTGACCTTGGAAGGCTTTGATGGGATAATTACTGTGCAGAAAAGAATACTTGCTAGAGCATTTACCCAGCTAGAACAACCATGTTGGATTTTATCTGTGTGAGGGAAGTGAAATCAGTAGATGCAATTCCAGTAAACTTTTCTTTAAAATAAAAAATAATGATTACTGTAGCTTTTCTTCAAATGTTAGGACCTAGTGGCTTGCCAGTTTTTCTTTGCTGTTATTCCATTACCTGATCTAGTTAGGTGGGTTTTAAGTAGCTGATAGGCTTATTTGTTTGTCTTACATTTGAAAATCAAGCTATTTTAAAATTGTTCCTAGGAAATGAATAATTTTAGTTTATTACCAGCCTGGAGCATGCTATAAACTTGTTACTATGCTTTTCTACTTCTGAGTGAACAAATAGAATTTTCTTATGCTGAAAGCAGAGGACCACTGCAAAGGGTGTGATGGGAAATTCTGAGATTGGTTGAGATTTTTCTGTATTTTCTTTTATCGAGTGATATTTTTCACTGATTATTTTCTTAAATTTCTTGCCTCAGTCAAAGTATGTTTTCAAAACCAATGATTTTGTAAGGTAAAACTATCAGACAAGCTGGTTGTTTTTGCATATGCAGATAGATGCAATAGTTTGAGGGAATTCTTGAGATTTTAAGGTCCTGTAAGTTCTTTCGTATCACAGACTTTTCAGTCAGAATACTGGTATGCTGTTCAACAGCTGTGAACTGATCTGCTTGACTCTTCCCCTTATTTTATGAAAATGAAGGACCTAAGGTCATCAGTAATATCTTTGATAGTTTTAGATTAAAGAATATTTAGTTTGGATGAGACAGAATTTCTGTTTCATGAGTTTTCTGCGTTTAATCTTGACATCAATAATTAACACTTTAAAAAAAAAAAAAAAAGGAAGAAAAAAGTATGCGATAAGGAACATTCATGTTGAACTTAATTTCCAAATCTCTCTTCTTCCCTCAGCACGCTTTGCTCAGGGCTGTAATTTGTAAGAAAGGAGTGCTTTGTTCAAGAATCAAGTTTATTCAAGTTACATTCAAGTCTATTCTTACCTGAGAAGGAAATAGCAGATATAGTAGGTGGGTGTTCACCGGAGCAGCTGGGACCTACCTCTGAGAGACTGACCCTTCTAGGTGAGCCACAAGGCTAAAACTCTTTCTCAAGTGTTTCACCTTCCTCTCTTTGGTCACAGTTCTGGTGGAGTGTTGGTGAAGTACAAAGATTTGTAATGTTCTCAAACAGACGAAGCACAAGATAGCTGAATAGCTGGCCAGTGCTCGCCTGACAGTATTTGAAGTATACAGAGAAATGTGTAAGCTTTCATCTGTGGCTAACTACATTGGCATTCTTCAGCTACTGCTGGTAAAATATTTAAGCTTGCAGTTACTGTTGCATTTGGAGGTTATTGGAAGTTTTTGAGTTCTTCAAACTGGATGTGGTTTCTTTTTCTCAAAGTTATGCAAGTCTGTGTCTGGAGTTTTGCTGCTGTAAAGTCACCACTTTTGCAGGTCAGAGTGTGTCTGTGAAGAACAAGAAGATGTTTATTAATTGGTTGATTGCTCAGCACTCCGCTCTTGCTTGGACTTGCATCTTTTGGGCTTAATTTCTGTTAGTTTGTATTCAAAAGTTATTAGAATCAGAATTATTAGTTCTGGTTAGCAAGCTTTTAGATGACCTTTAATATTAAAGTGGCCATATGGGAATTTTCATCAGAAATAGAAACCAAGTTACTTTATTTTGGATAGCAGATCCAGTTCTGCTTTCTAGATCTATAGAGCAGACTGGCTACCATTACTATTTTGAAGGGAATTTCTTCAGCTGTCAGAATTTCTTTTAAACATTGACATGCTATTATGTTTAGTGTTAGTATTAGTTACTGCCACCTTTCAATTTAGTGGCACAAAATGTAAATATCCATTTGTGTAACTTGTAAATTTACGTTTCTTTTTCAAGTTACACCCACACAGCAGTGTGTGGTGGGTCACATACCATCTCATTAGGAAATCTGTGGGTGTTACACATAGGAGAAGAAAGAAAGAAAGAATGGAAAAATGAGAGAAAGTAGCCAAGACAAGCAAGTTCTTCCTATTCTTCCTTCTGTCTGAACAATTTCCCCACCCCTCCCAAATGGCCAGTAAGAACAATATGCCAAAGTAAGCTTTAATTTATTCTTTGGACATAGGCTTTGGTATAAACTTTCCATTTCCTGTGTTTAATTAATGTCTGAAAGTGTTTAATTTTGCTTTGTTTTATCTTTTTTAAAGAAATGTAAAATGAGGTAGATTTTAAAAGATTTGATTTTGCCTGTGTCCAATCTGCATGGCCAAAATCATGTAGGAAAGGCATTAACAACATATGGTTTGCTTGCACTACTTGAAGTTCAGTGAATTTAAGCCAACCAACAATAATAATTGTAATAATAACAATAAACATGCATTAGCAAATTTAACTCATTCAAAAAAACCAAACTGTACTTACCTGTTTTGCTTTATGTTGTATAAGCTTTAAAGTTAGAACTATTCTTCGTGTGTGTATTTAAAAAAATATATATAAAATATATACAAATATGTTTCTGCCATATGTTTTCAGTTTGCACCACTTGTGCTGCTCAGTAACATATAGTTGTTTTTAGCGATGGTATTGAGCATCTTTAATCTTAGTGTCATAATATTCATCCAAATACAGAAAGGCTATAAGCCTAAATAGGCTAAAAGCAAAGCCTGGCTTTTCACCTTCTCAGAAAATGACTGTTTCTGATGAAGAGTAATAAAAACTAAGTGACTAGAGGCTGTAAAGAGGATCATATAGAGATGCTGTATACAGGAGCTTGACAAAGGGAGGACTGGGGAAAATTAAGGAAGAAGCCAAAGTTCATATGGGCGTAGAGGAAAGAAAAAGGAGAACGTGTAAAGAAAATGTGGCCACCTTAGAAATGGAAGGAGAGAAGAAAGGAAGAAGGTATCTTGTAAACAGACCTCCTTCTTCCCTCTCTTGAATGCGGACAAAGTTCAATATGTTTATCCTACAAATCATTTTCAGATCTTTTTCATTCCTTCCCTAGCATCCTTGTTATTTGTCTTGGCTTGATGGTGGAACGTTTCTGCTCTGATTTCAGATCTTTGTATTGTACTGTGTTTCCTACTGTGGAAATAATTAATCATACGGCACAGATAGTTCACAGCCTGATTTTATCTGCATTCTCCGGAATAGAGTATTTTTAAAAAATATATTGAACCTTGCTTCCTTAGAAAAGTTGAGCTAATTGCGATCATATTTTCTGTCTGTTTCTGTTTTGCCGTTCCATCTTTTCCCTCTGATTGCTTTTCCTAAATTGGCTGAACTTTATGACAGGTAGAAATTTCAGGGGATATGTTTGCCAGCACTTAACTTCAGATAAGCTTACTGAAATGAGGAAGAGGAAGAAATGCGAGTCCTTTGAGTAGTTTGGCCTTACAGAGACCCAGTGTCAAAGTTCACATCTTATTAAATATTTAAAAAAAAACAACTGAGATTCTATAAGAAAATACATTTCATTTGTTCTGTTTCTCATGAAACTTTTTTCTTTTTTTTTTTCTCCTATAAACACGAAATAGTCTATGTTCACTATTTCTGTAGTAATTGAAGTGCGTAAGGTATGCATAGGCTAAGTTCCCTGTTAGAATTCTGTGGCAGCAAAAGTGATTTAAAATATTCCCACTTGTCTAGCTTTAAACTCTTATTTCTCTGTGGTGAAATAGTGTTAACTTTGATTTTAACAAGAATTGTTTCATCTGTCTTCCTTAAAGAGCAACTCCACAAATCATTTCTGATCTCCTTTTTTTCTTTTTCCCCCAATCTGAGAACAAGTGGGCATTCAATAAAGTTATAGGAAGTCAAATTGGTTAGCAGAGCTGTGGAATTCTTTGCCAATGAGGGTGATAGATGTGTTCACTTATTTGGGCAAGAACCCAGGAAGGATATGGGTTTCTTGGAAGGCTGGGAGAGGACTGGGGGGAAATAATTGCATGCAGTTTGCTCTTGTGTTTTATCTTCCCTTCTATGCTTTTCTAGTGACATTAAATGTAAGACATTGAGCTATATGAACCTTTGATCTTATTCAGTATGGCCTTTCTTATCATCATAAGGAAAAAGCCTGCACCGTAAATGTTATTATGTTGGGGAGAGGCTGATGTATTTCAAAGATTGTCAGAGGAAATTCTAGGCTTTCTAGATTGAAGGATCTGTGTTTGTCTTTTTCCTGATATTAAACTGCTCCTCACAGGATTTAGTAATTGCTATCTTTGTCTTGGGACACTTGCAGATGTAGCACCAGATCTGTTGAATGCTTTCTCCTTATTTTATTCTGCTCTAGGTGCATCCCCCATGTGAAATTATTTATAATTCTGGGTAGGAAATGAAATACTGTTGTATTTATTTTAGAGATACCCTATAATGAAATGTTTTATATAGATACTGTTGAAAAGAAATATACCATTTGCTTAAAATAATCGGAGAACTGTGTAGTTTGCTGTATGTCT